TAGCCCGTGCTACTTGGACACTTCGTTCTGAGCAGCTAAATCTAATACAACAACAACTGTCCATTCACTTGAGAATGAACCATGTAGGTTCGAAACATTGTGCAAAATTATAATCAAGTTTTATACATTCTACAATTAATTATTTATTTTTCTTCACCTCGAAGAAAGATAACATTTGGAGAAACACTTTTCCAATTAAACCAAGATGCCAAAGCATCTCCACCGACCTTATGGGGATCGCCACGGAAGCAGACTTCGCCATAAAGGCGGTCAATGGGGCCGACCCTGTACCAGGCCAGTACTACCCCTGACCCACAGCCACCCTGCAACCCTGAACAAACATAAATCTGCTCTTATAGAATTATATTAAGTCGGAGCGACACCTCGTGCCTACAGTGTCACGTGTGTGAGTTGTTTGTGTCAGCGTGTTATTGCGACCCTCTGCAAGGCTCGGCTGTTGCAACCTATATCTTGCAACCTCTGCAACCTAGCTATATATTGCTCTTACAGTCATATTAACCGCTCCTTCTCGGCACACACACGCAAAACAAATAGCATAAATGTACGTGATTGAGTGAAAGTTGATTATAATTTTCAATATTACCTGGTTGATACCTGGTTGATGGGGTTCTGGGAGTTGTTCTACTCCCCAAGCCCGGCCCGAGGCCAGGCTTGACTTGTGAGAGTTTGGTCCACCAGGCTGTTGGTTGATACCTGGTTGATGGGGTTCTGGGAGTTGTTCTACTCCCCAAGCCCGGCCCGAGGCCAGGCTTGACTTGTGAGAGTTTGGTCCACCAGGCTGTTGGTTGATACCTGGTTGATGGGGTTCTGGGAGTTGTTCTACTCCCCAAGCCCGGCCCGAGGCCAGGCTTGACTTGTGAGAGTTTGGTCCACCAGGCTGTTGGTTGATACCTGGTTGATGGGGTTCTGGGAGTTGTTCTACTCCCCAAGCCCGGCCCGAGGCCAGGCTTGACTTGTGAGAGTTTGGTCCACCAGGCTGTTGGTTGATACCTGGTTGATGGGGTTCTGGGAGTTGTTCTACTCCCCAAGCCCGGCCCGAGGCCAGGCTTGACTTGTGAGAGTTTGGTCCACCAGGCTGTTGGTTGATACCTGGTTGATGGGGTTCTGGGAGTTCTTCTACTCCCCAAGCCCGGCCCGAGGCCAGGCTTGACTTGTGAGAGTTTGGTCCACCAGGCTGTTGGTTGATACCTGGTTGATGGGGTTCTGGGAGTTCTTCTACTCCCCAAGCCCGGCCCGAGGCCAGGCTTGACTTGTGAGAGTTTGGTCCACCAGGCTGTTGGTTGATACCTGGTTGATGGGGTTCTGGGAGTTGTTCTACTCCCCAAGCCCGGCCCGAGGCCAGGCGTTTTTGGTGAGAGTTTGGTCCACCAGGCTGTTGGTTGATACCTGGTTGATGGGGTTCTGGGAGTTCTTCTACTCTCCAAGCCCGGCCCGAGGCCAGGCTTGACTTGTGAGAGTTTGGTCCACCAGGCTGTTGGTTGATACCTGGTTGATGGGGTTCTGGGAGTTGTTCTACTCCCCAAGCCCGGCCCGAGGCCAGGCTTGACTTGTGAGAGTTTGGTCCACCAGGCTGTTGGTTGATACCTGGTTGATGGGGTTCTGGGAGTTGTTCTACTCCCCAAGCCCGGCCCGAGGCCAGGCTTGACTTGTGAGAGTTTGGTCCACCAGGCTGTTGGTTGATACCTGGTTGATGGGGTTCTGGGAGTTGTTCTACTCCCCAAGCCCGGCCCGAGGCCAGGCTTGACTTGTGAGAGTTTGGTCCACCAGGCTGTTGGTTGATACCTGGTTGATGGGGTTCTGGGAGTTGTTCTACTCCCCAAGCCCGGCCCGAGGCCAGGCTTGACTTGTGAGAGTTTGGTCCACCAGGCTGTTGGTTGATACCTGGTTGATGGGGTTCTGGGAGTTGTTCTACTCCCCAAGCCCGGCCCGAGGCCAGGCTTGACTTGTGAGAGTTTGGTCCACCAGGCTGTTGGTTGATACCTGGTTGATGGGGTTCTGGGAGTTGTTCTACTCCCCAAGCCCGGCCCGAGGCCAGGCTTGACTTGTGAGAGTTTGGTCCACCAGGATGTTGGTTGATACCTGGTTGATGGGGTTCTGGGAGTTGTTCTACTCCCCAAGCCCGGCCCGAGGCCAGGCTTGACTTGTGAGAGTTTGGTCCACCAGGCTGTTGGTTGATACCTGGTTGATGGGGTTCTGGGAGTTGTTCTACTCCCCAAGCCCGGCCCGAGGCCAGGCTTGACTTGTGAGAGTTTGGTCCACCAGGCTGTTGGTTGATACCTGGTTGATGGGGTTCTGGGAGTTGTTCTACTCCCCAAGCCCGGCCCGAGGCCAGGCTTGACTTGTGAGAGTTTGGTCCACCAGGCTGTTGGTTGATACCTGGTTGATGGGGTTCTGGGAGTTGTTCTACTCCCCAAGCCCGGCCCGAGGCCAGGCTTGACTTGTGAGAGTTTGGTCCACCAGGCTGTTGGTTGATACCTGGTTGATGGGGTTCTGGGAGTTGTTCTACTCCCCAAGCCCGGCCCGAGGCCAGGCTTGACTTGTGAGAGTTTGGTCCACCAGGCTGTTGGTTGATACCTGGTTGATGGGGTTCTGGGAGTTGTTCTACTCCCCAAGCCCGGCCCGAGGCCAGGCTTGACTTGTGAGAGTTTGGTCCACCAGGCTGTTGGTTGATACCTGGTTGATGGGGTTCTGGGAGTTGTTCTACTCCCCAAGCCCGGCCCGAGGCCAGGCTTGACTTGTGAGAGTTTGGTCCACCAGGCTGTTGGTTGATACCTGGTTGATGGGGTTCTGGGAGTTGTTCTACTCCCCAAGCCCGGCCCGAGGCCAGGCTTGACTTGTGAGAGTTTGGTCCACCAGGCTGTTGGTTGATACCTGGTTGATGGGGTTCTGGGAGTTCTTCTACTCCCCAAGCCCGGCCCGAGGCCAGGCTTGACTTGTGAGAGTTTGGTCCACCAGGCTGTTGGTTGATACCTGGTTGATGGGGTTCTGGGAGTTCTTCTACTCCCCAAGCCCGGCCCGAGGCCAGGCTTGACTTGTGAGAGTCTGGTCCACCAGGCTGTTGGTTGATACCTGGTTGATGGGGTTCTGGGAGTTCTTCTACTCCCCAAGCCCGGCCCGAGGCCAGGCTTGACTTGTGAGAGTTTGGTCCACCAGGCTGTTGGTTGATACCTGGTTGATGGGGTTCTGGGAGTTGTTCTACTCCCCAAGCCCGGCCCGAGGCCAGGCTTGACTTGTGAGAGTTTGGTCCACCAGGCTGTTGGTTGATACCTGGTTGATGGGGTTATGGGAGTTGTTCTACTGCCCAAGCCCGGCCCGAGGCCAGGCTTGACTTGTGAGAGTTTGGTCCACCAGGCTGTTGCTTGGAGCGGCCCGCAGGCCCACATACCCACCACCGCCCGGTTGGTCCGGCACTCCTTGGAGGAATAAATCTAGTTTCCTCTTGAAGATGTCCACAGTTGTTCCGGCAATATTTCTTATAGTCGCTGGGAGGACGTTGAACAACAGTGTTCTCTGATTGTGCCTATGGCACAATCAGAGAGATTGGGATTGTTGGGATTGTTGCACACACACATAAATGTCCTAATTGTCAGTAGTTGCTCTGGCAATATTGTAACCAAATTAGGAAGAATTGATGAAGGGACTGACCCGGGTAGATAGTTAGGGATGTTAACAATAGTTATCAGAACTGTTCACCCCCCTACAACCACAGCTGACACCCCCCCCTCCCCCCGTCACAACAGTGATGTGAATATGTATCAATTTAAGGAGACAATTAATTCCCGCCAAATACACACCGAAACTACGACGTCGGTACAACGTTCGAACAAGTTTTAGCACTTCCTAACCAGTTATAACAACCAATATAGCAAGTTGTAACAACGTTCTAATACGTCATAAACACGTTAAGCCAAGATGGAACAACTTTATTACAAGTTGTAACAGGCGGAAAATAGAGACAGTTTCGGTTTGTGTTTCCAGGGGAAGTAATTGTGTAATAACTTCTATGGTGTTGAAGTGTTCATCAGTGATGGAGAGTTGTTCAAAGTTCAGGCGGGAGAGTTGTGAACATGGAGCTGTTCAGAAGGTCCAATGGGAGCCGGTCGGCCGAGCGGACAGCACGCTGGACTTGTGATCCTGTGTTCCTGGGTTCGATCCCAGGCGCCGGCGAGAAACAATGGGCAGAGTTTCATTCACCCTATGCCACTGTTACCTAGCAGTAAAATAGGTACCTGGGTGTTAGTCAGCTGTCACGGGCTGCTTCCTGGGGGTGGAGGCCTGGTCGAGGACCGGGCCGCGGGGACACTAAAGCCCCGAAATCATCTCAAAATAAGATCAACTTGCCGCCCGGCTGAACACAGCGCAGCGTGCACTACGGGCTCACCATAGCCCGTGCTACATGGACACTTCGTTCTGAGCAGCTAAATAACAACTGTCCATTCACTTGAGAATGAACCATATAGGTTCGAAACATTGACACAGTAGTAATAGCTATTCAAATGCTTGGAATTCTTCACAGCCTCGGGACACACGTAGATCTCTTAGACGGTTTAGACAGACAGAGGTAATTATAAGGAGAAAGCGCTAAGCCATCTTGGACCATTGGGGATCGAACGTCGACTCTGCAAGAATCAAAGTCGTCGCCCTACCGACCGGTTCAAGTGGTGAGCTTGGTGTAGAAAGTGGGAAGGATAAGATCCCATTTCTTAGCAAAACATTTCTTGAGAAACTTTCTAGAAGTTTCTAAAACTTTCTAGAACGTTCTAGAAGTTTCTAAAAGAGTTCTAGAGTTTCTAAAACTTTCTAAAAGAGTTCTAGAGTTTATAGAACTTTCTAGAAGTTTCTAAAAGAGTTCTAGAGTTTCTAGAACTCTAGAAGATTCTAGCCTACATACCTGAGGTGGCTGAAGTAGTCAGATATGTTACTACATGCATCTTATAATGAACTCTTTAAGAGGTACACTAAACTACTTTTATTTTCAGGTGAGCAGTGTTGGCTACACACCTGACTGTGGGGATGCGGTGAGTACCCGGGGGTGGTGGGGCAGGTGTGGGGCGGTGGAGCAGGTGTGGGGAGGGCGGGTAGGGTTGTGGGGCAGGTGTAGGGTGGTGGGACAGGTGTAGGGAGGCGGGTAGGGTTGTGGGACACCTGTAGGGGAGGTGTGGGGAGGCTGATAGGGTTGTGGGGCAGGTGTAGGGTTATGAGGCAGGTGTGGGGAGGCAGGTGTGGAAAGACGGATGGAGTGGCTAGTATATTTGCTATCCCCATGTCCGGTGTGGGAGCCACAGTGAAAGATTTGTACAAGTGACTTAGGTTGCAGGTGTGTAAATTTCAGGTGTCTATCACTGCGCTTCTGTGGGGGGGGGGGGAATGTTTGTTATCTTTGGTGGTCTGGAGGCCAGATTCACGAAAGCAGTTACGCAAGCACTTACGAACGTGTACATCTTTCCTCGATCTTTGACGGCTTTGGTTACATTTATTAAACAGTTTACAAGCATGAAAACTTGCCAATCAACTGTTGTTATTGTTATAAACAGCCTCCTGGTGCTTCGGAGCTCATTAACTGTTTAATAATTGTAAACAAAGCCGCCAAAGATTGAGGAAAGATGTACAGGTTCGTAAGTGCTTGCGTAACTGCTTCGTGAATCTGGCTCCTGGTATGTGGGTTTTTTGTGGTGTAGCCGGTCGGCCGAGCGGACAGCACACTGGACTTGTGATCCTGTGGTCCTGGGTTCGATCCCAGGCGCCGTCGAGAAACAATGGGCAGAGTTTCTTTCAACCCTATGCCCCTGTTACCTAGCAGTAAAATAGGTACCTGGGTGTTAGTCAGCTGTCACGGGCTGCTTCCTGGGGGTGGAGGCCTGGTCGAGGACCGGGCCGCGGGGACACTAAAGCCCCGAAATCATCTCAAGATAACCTCAAGATGATCCACAGACACAGGATGAGTGGCGCTGCCCAATAAACTCGCCCCTCGGGGCAAAATTTAAAAAAAAAATATATATGAAAATAAGTTCCAGCTCATGCGCTATGGAACAAAATAAAATATGAAAAGATAAAATGCAGTCAAACCAAACTATTGAAAGAAAAGTCAACGTAAGATCTAGGAATAGTCATGTCGGAAGACCTTACCTTTAAAGAACACAATAAAGTAGCCGTCACAACTGCAAGAAAAATGACAGGTTGGATAACAAGAACTTTTCACACTAGAGATGCTATACCGATGATGATACTCTTCAAGACGCTAGTGCTCTCTAGAGTGGAGTACTGCTGCACAATGACAGCACCTTTCAAAGCTGGAGAAATTGCTGACCTGGAGAGCGTGCAGAGATCCTTTACTGCTAGAATCCACTCAGTAAAACATCTAAACTATTGGGACCGACTAAAGAGCCTAAATCTGTACTCCCTTGAGCGCAGGCGGGAGAGATACATAATAATTTACACGTGGAAAATATTAGAGGGGCTGGTCCCAAACCTGCACACAGAAATAACATCATATGAGACCAGAAGACATGGCAGGATGTGCAGAATACACTGGATGGATACACTAGGATGGATACACAGAATACACTGGATGGATACACTAGGATGTGCAGTCTGTGACTCATACATCAGGCTGCGAGCAGCCGCGTCCAACAGCCTGGTTGATCAGTCCAGTTGACTAGTCATATATATATATATCAGTTGCGACATAATTTAACTATTCTAACGGTCTATTGTTTTGGTCTAATATGGTCTGAGGTATGACTGGAGGTGGCTTTCAGGACTTCTTTCAGTACACTGTGAGAGGTTTGTTGTGAATATGGGTGTGGTGATTGGTGATTGTGAGTGTGTGACTGGTTGTCAGTGGTGATTGGTGATTGTGAGTGTGTGACTAGTTGTCAGTGGTGACTGGTGATTGTGAGTGTGTGACTGGTTGTCAGTGGTGACTGGTGATTGTGAGTGTGTGACTAGTTGTCAGTGGTGACTGGTGATTGTGAGTGTGTGACTGGTTGTCAGTGGTGACTGGTGATTGTGAGTGTGTAACTGGTTGTCAGTGGTGACTGGTGATTGTGAGTGTGTGACTGGTTGTCAGTGGTGACTGGTGATTGTGAGTGTGTAACTGGTTGTCAGTGGTGATTGGTGATTGTGAGTGTGTAACTGGTTGTCAGTGGTGACTGGTGATTGTGAGTGTGTAACTGGTTGTCAGTGGTGACTGGTGATTGTGAGTGTGTAACTGGTTGTCAGTGGTGATTGGTGATTGTGAGTGTGTAACTGGTTGTCAGTGGTGACTGGTGATTGTGAGCGTGTAACTGGTTGTCAGTGGTGATTGGTGATTGTGAGCGTGTAACTGGTTGTCAGTGGTGACTGGTGATTGTGAGTGTGTAACTGGTTGTCAGTGGTGACTGGTGATTGTGAGCGTGTAACTGGTTGTCAGTGGTGACTGGTGATTGTGAGCGTGTAACTGGTTGTCAGTGGTGATTGGTGATTGTGAGCGTGTAACTGGTTGTCAGTGGTGACTGGTGATTGTGAGTGTGTAACTGGTTGTCAGTGGTGACTGGTGATTGTGAGCGTGTAACTGGTTGTCAGTGGTGATTGGTGATTGTGAGCGTGTAACTGGTTGTCAGTGGTGACTGGTGATTGTGAGCGTGTAACTGGTTGTCAGTGGTGATTGGTGATTGTGAGTGTGTAACTGGTGGTCAGTGGTGACTGGTGATTGTGAGTGTGTAACTGGTTGTCAGTGGTGACTGGTGATTGTGAGTGTGTAACTGGTTGTCAGTGGTGACTGGTGATTGTGAGCGTGTAACTGGTTGTCAGTGGTGACTGGTGATTGTGAGTGTGTAACTGGTTGTCAGTGGTGACTGGTGATTGTGAGTGTGTAACTGGTGGTCAGTGGTGACTGGTGATTGTGAGTGTGTAACTGGTTGTCAGTGGTGACTGGTGATTGTGAGTGTGTAACTGGTTGTCAGTGGTGACTGGTGATTGTGAGTGTGTAACTGGTTGTCAGTGGTGACTGGTGATTGTGAGTGTGTAACTGGTTGTCAGTGGTGACTGGTGATTGTGAGCGTGTAACTGGTTGTCAGTGGTGACTGGTGATTGTGAGCGTGTAACTGGTTGTCAGTGGTGACTGGTGATTGTGAGCGTGTAACTGGTTGTCAGTGGTGACTGGTGATTGTGAGCGTGTAACTGGTTGTCAGTGGTGACTGGTGATTGTGAGCGTGTAACTGGTTGTCAGTGGTGACTGGTGATTGTGAGCGTGTAACTGGTTGTCAGTGGTGATTGGTGATTGTGAGTGTGTAACTGGTTGTCAGTGGTGACTGGTGATTGTGAGTGTGTAACTGGTTGTCAGTGGTGACTGGTGATTGTGAGCGTGTAACTGGTGGTCAGTGATTGTGTTTACAGTGTTCTCTGACAGCTTCAGTGACTGTTAACCTCCTCTAACAGTGAATACCAGTAACGGGTGAAGTGTGTGGTGGAGGAGGCAGTGGAGTGGAACTTGTTGGAGTGGTTGCGGAATCCGGCCCCCCAAGCCACCCCACCCCCCCAACCCAACACCCCACTGGGGGGGGGGCGAGCATAAAAACTTGTAGACTGGTGTACGGTGGAGGAGGCGGGGGGGGGGGGGGGGGGTGCCACGTACACCAGCCGTGCCATTGGCCGCTGTCCCGGGTACGCCCACACATATCTGACTTCGTACACAAGATATCAACGAATTTTAGATGGTATCGAGCGGACTCCAGGCTCAGCCTTGATGGCGGCCGGGCGGCTGGGAGTCACGGGAGAGTTAAGAGGTATTTTCGCGCTTTCTGGCGGAGGGCAGTGTCCGCCGTGCTGGTCAGCGGCGCGGGGGTGGTGGGCCCCTGGTGTGTGGCCCTCAGGGGGTGGTGGGCCCCTGGTGTGTGGCCCTCAGGGGGTGGTGGGCCCCTGGTGTGTGGCCCTCAGGGGGTGGTGGGCCCCTGGTGTGTGGCCCTCAGGGGGTGGTGGGCCCCTGGTGTGTGGCCCTCAGGGGGTGGTGGGCCCCTGGTGTGTGGCCCTCAAGGGGTGGTGGGCCCCTGGTGTGCGGCCCTCAGGGGGTGGTGGGCCCCTGGTGTGTGGCCCTCAAGGGGTGGTGGGCCCCTGGTGTGTGGCCCTCAAGGGGTGGTGGGCCCCTGGTGTGCGGCCCTCAGGGGGTGGTGGGCCCCTGGTGTGTGGCCCTCAGGGGGTGGTGGGCCCCTGGTGTGTGGCCCTCAAGGGGTGGTGGGCCCCTGGTGTGTGGCCCTCAGGGGGTGGTGGGCCCCTGGTGTGTGGCCCTCAAGGGGTGGTGGGCCCCTGGTGTGTGGCCCTCAGGGGGGTGGTGGGCCCCTGGTGTGAGGCCTCAGGGGGGTGGTGGGCCCCTGGTTTGTGGCCTCAGGGGGGTGGTGGGCCCCTGGTGTGAGGCCTCAGGTCGTGGTGGTTCCCTATGCTCTATGGGTGAGAGGAGGAGGATTGACTAGGTATTAGGATGAGAGAGGGTGGATTGAATAGTTATATTAGTGGGAAGGGCAGATGGGATAGGTAGGTTTGTGAGTGGGATAGTATGGACCAACAGGGGGTGTTGAAGTGTTCTCCTTAATGTCTGTGTCGTACACTGCTGGGGCTCCTCTTACTGATACTCGAGCAGGCTCTGCAGGACGACCCAGGGTGCGGGTGGGGGGTGACATAGGTCAGGGGTGACTGTGTTACCAGTCAGTTCCCCCACACTGCCTCGGGGGAGGCCATGACCATCCTGTGTAGAAGCTTCGGCTATTTAATACACGAGTTTATAAATTGGATAAATTCTAATGTAGGTGCACTTGAGTGGTGATGGTCTACTAATGGTCCCTAATGGTCTACGATGGTCCCTATTTTACTGTGTAGATTTGGGACCTGTCCCTCCAGTATTTTCCACGTGTATATTATTTGGTATCTCTCTCGTCTCCTTTCTAGTGAGTACATTTGGAGAGCTTTGAGACGATCCCAATAATTTAGGTGCTTTATCTCGTCTATGTGTGCCGTATATGTTCTCTGTATTCCCTCTATTTCAGCA